AATTTAAGGTTCTATTAAAGAAGATATAAGGATAATCCAATTTCACCTACCTAGGTGATGTATCTTATATTAAAAATCTAAGAAAAATTCAAAAGATCTAACTTTTAACAATCTAATTTTACTATTTTTAATTTTTTAAAAATTTTTAACAAGATGGTAAAATTAGAATCTTAATAAGTTAAGATTTTTATTTTTAATTTTTTAAAATGATTTGTATTATATCAAGTAATTTAAGAATTGAAATTTTAAAAATTTTACTTTTCTAATGAAGAATCAACTTGAATAATTTAATTTTTTATGATAAGAACTTTATTTTATTTGTATAAAATATGTTTATATGATATATTTTTATAATATATATAAAGCAAAAAATATTAATTTTGATATTTTAAATTAATTTTATTTAATAGCTGTCAGCTTTATCAAATGATATGAGAGTTTTTTTGTGAGAAAAATAAGACTGAGAATCATTTAAGTAAATTTGGAGAGATAGAAATATTTTTTATTCTAAATATTTTAGATATTATATAGATTTTACTTATTATTGAATATTAATTATAATTTAAAATAAGTAATTTTTGTATCTATTGTTAGTTTATATATATACTTCAAGTGTTTGATTTTAAATATTTAACACTTCACTATTTTAGTGTTAAAAATTTAATATAGAAAATTTTTTAAACTAAATTTTCCATTTTATCAAATATAGCCCTAATTTCTTATATATATATATATATATATATATATAAGGTTCCATGATTGAATTGTAATAAGTTTTAATCTAGTACCACTAAAGTGACCTTTGTTAAGTCCCAATAATTGAAGAACCCACCCATAAATTCCTGTTAGGGCAAAGTTGCATTCCAACAATGTGTTGGGTGCGGCAGAACTTCAATTCAATTAGTGCCAGATAAGTCATGGATGTTATTTGTCCATCACTATGGCCACCTTTTGGCTCCAATTTTCTATTCTACCCAACAAAAACTCATATTCCTTGCGGTGTGTTTCGATAAAAATGCTGTAAAAGTTCTCTTATTTTATATTGAAAATAAAGAAAAATTATTAATTATAACAAAAACCCAGTCAATAAGAATGCGTAAGAACATACAATTCATACTTTTAAATTATTAATTTATTTTACTAAGTTCAGATTTTATCAACAATTATCATGAATATTTTATTGGAAAGAAGGTAAAGCGGGTTTTATCGTAATTTTGCCACTCAAAAAATTGTGACTTCAAGTTTTCATTTGATATTTAATTACCGGTTAGCAAAATTACAACCCTAATATTTGAAGGTGGGTTACAATTAAATTGAATAGGGATCTTGCTTCAAAAAGAAAGGATTCGTTGAATATGCAAAAGAGGCGGCCAACAACCCTATATTTGATGTGGAGAATATTTTTTTTAAAAAAATTATATTTAACCAATCAAAATTAAGAAAAAATATATTTTTCTACTGTTGTTGCTTCAACTCAACATTAAATAAATTGATAATCACGTTGCTTGCTAATTTCAGCCCATAACTCAAATACTCAACCATGATGTAATAAAAATAGATAGCACACAAAAAAAGTTAAAAATATGTAAAATAAAGTATATTTTATTATATATTTAGTAGGGACCGAAAGATATCGACCGATTCATCCAATCCAAAAAAAGGAAAACGTGCACTGTTCGTAATTAGCGTGTGTTAGTTCCATCAACATTCATCTTATCTGTTGGGTGTGCACTTTTACTTTCAACTATTTAATCTATGAAATCCTTGTTGATATAAGGCTTGTTTGGTTTCTTAAAAAGGATTAGACTATTAATTGGATGTTGAGAAGGACACTTGATTTAACTGGAAAAAGGAAGAGTAGATATGGTCATATGAGTTATAACAAAAGAATGGATAGAGAAGCCCTTGGTTAAATTCTATCCACGGGTGAAAGGGTAGATGGGAAGCGAGAGAGTAGGAGAATAGTCAATTCTAGGTATCATATGGTCCAAGTATGAGTCTACTTACATTAATTGATGAGTCCATACAAACAGTCAATTCTAGGTATCATATGGTCCAAGTATGAGTCTACTTACATTAATTGATGAGTCCATACAAACAGTCAATTCTAGGTATCATATGGTCCAAGTATGAGTCTACTTACATTAATTGATGAGTCCATACAAACGTGTAATAGAGAGACAAGGAGAAAAAGGAAAGCAAAAGGAAAAAACAATATATAGAGACATTTTATTTATCTATTTTTGTTATATTAGAGACTGAAATCTAACACGGAAAAAGGAAAAAGTCAAAAATCAAACTTATAATCTATAAATAAATATTACCAATGTTATATTATTTTGATTAAACGTTAGGCTCACATATGACTCCACTAAGGAGGCATTTTGGATACGTGCTCCACCATGGCCTAAATCTTAAAAGGGTTTAGGTGGCGTATGGTACAGTGAAATAATTTTTGATGGAATAAGAATGAGAATAGGAATGTGAATGGAATGGAATCAGAATTCTTATAAATATGTTTGATGGACAGTGATGAAATGAGGATTCTCATTCTATTGTTATGTTTGATATGTCGAAATAGAAATAGGAAAGTAAACAAAAACAATGTTCAAAGACAAAAATATCTTTTGTTATAAAGATTTAAAATTTTAAAAAATAACTTTTAATATATTTTAAATGTATTAAAAAATTTTAAAAATTAATTTTTTTATTTTAACATTAAAATATTAAATTCATATATATATGTGTGTGTTTGTATTTATATATATAATAAGTTATATATATTATAAATATAATAAATGATATAATATATCATATTATATAATTTAATATATTATATTATATATATATAATACATAATCATTTTATATAATTTATTATAGTGTAATATAATATATTAATACATAATATTATAAATACTTATAATTTTTTATATCTATAGGATATTTTCGGCATTTACTTAAAAAGTAAAGGATAATATAGTAATTAATACATAAATAAAGATTCTATCAGGAGATGGAATTTGGATTCCATCACTTTAGTGAAGGAATCCGAATTCCTTCATTTGATGGAGAGAATGAGGATTCCTATTTCAAAGTGCTTACCAAACATACTTTTTTGACATTCTCATTTTCATTTCTTCAAAAAATTTCATTATACCATACATCACCTTACTCTCTTGTGCATTCAGCCAAAGATACTCACCTAAGTCTTATCCAACATGCATCTAATCAAGGGGCAATTGACAAGCATAAGATTGGTTTAAATAAGATGCAACCCTATCCATAAAATGATGGTTTTAATTTCGTATTCTAATTTAGACAGAAGAACAACATGAAAGAAAAGCACATCCTTCCTCTTAGAGACATATGACTTTCTGGAATTTGGGAATTTGGGAGTTGGGAACTAAAAGTAAATCAGACTTTATATATATATATATATATATATACACACACACACACACACACATACACACACACATATATATATATATTGTTCAAATTATTTTAAAAAATTAATTTAAAAAAGTGTACAAAATTTATATTATTTATTTCAAGATTAATGATTCAAATAAAATTTTATATTAAAATATATCAAACGATAATATATCAATTCAACCAGAAAGCAAATATACACACACATGACATATTAGCCCTCTCTCTCTCTCTCTCTCTCTCTCTCTCTATATATATATATATATATATATATACAGTTAATAGATTTTGCTTATTTGATTTAATGGGGACAAACTAAAAAGGGATTTATTTATTTTCCAAAAATAGAACTGAAATTTATTTTGTTGGGGGTGGGGAATGTACAATAAGGTATTAACTGGAACTTTGTCTTTCTTTACATTAATAACGATGATTTTGGAATTAATTGAAAATTAAATAATGCAATAAGATTTTATTTAAAAAATGGTACTGCAACAATTTCTTGAACTTAATCATTGTTAGGCTAAAAATTTAAGAAATTATCAAATCAATACAATAAAAAAATTAAGAAAGAAATTCCACTTTGTAGCCTAGGAATAAGACTAATGCCATTTTGTTTTATTTGTTATTTTTATATATTCTAATTTGATTGTCATAATCACTTTTATTTAATTTAAAAATTTTTATGTTTAACACCAAACACATTTGAATTCTCTTATTGTGCCATATAATTTATGAAAGCAACATGTGGCAATATCACTATAGAGTAACTCTTTCCACTTGATAGTTACAAGAATTCTTAAATTTCTACAACTTACCTAGAATATTGTAGAGTGTGTATCCGTATCATTTTGGATTAACTCTTTCCACTTAATAGTTACAAAACTTCTAAAATCTCTACAAATTTCTTAGAATATTGTAGAGTGTATTGAGTATCTTTTATATTTTAAAGACATTTATTTATATTTAAAAAAATATCTAGATATTTTATAAAAGAAAACTCTAGATAATTTACCATGATCAAACAACTATTCTTTGTTTTAGTGGACTGTACAAAGGTAACATTTGAGGTCTCTTTCTTTATTTCTATTACTAATATAACAAAAATTTAAAACCATACAAAAAATAATACAATATATGACAGTATAATGCCACTTTTAAGGATAAATTTTCATATAATTTTGAAGATAGTCTCAAGAAGTTGTATATATAGCATACTTTGGAATCAAGAATAATCCTCGAAATCAATTGAACGTTACATTTGCTTTTTTGAAAAATGAAACTTTCATGCATTATTTTAATTCTCGTGCAACTAAAATATGATTTTGTTTTCTTTACCAACATTTAAAACATAACTCCAAGAAAACATTCATATGAATAGAATACTCAAGGGCCTCGAGTCGGAGCAAAGCATAAACAACCAGCACCTTGCCCTTCTGATGTCATCCCTGCTCCTTTGCTTGTGGCAATAGCTTCTATTAGCTTCACCACCACATTCATTTCTGGCCGTTTTTCTAGATTTGCATCCCAACATTTTTTCATAATGTTAGCTAGAGAACGCGGATATCATCTGGGTATTTTTGGCCTCAAATTCTGAAAATATACACCAATCATGAGTGTCAATATGCGTATATGTATTACATAATTCTATGTAAATACAGAAAATTAAGCTTACTTGACAAACAATAGCAAAAGAAACTTCAGTAAAGCCAAGATTCATGTAGGGAAGATCACAACAATAAATTCTCCATAGACAAATGCCAAAGCTGTAGACATCGCACTTGCTATTTTAAGACTTCCCATCGAGAACTCACAAAAATGAGACCTGTGAATTTTTTCATTCTTATATGGCAAACAACAAGAAAATTTAAAATATTACAAACAGACTAATCTTAACTTGTATTAAAAATTAAAGGAAAAATATTTTATATAACTTGCTACCATTGAAAAGATGATACTCTATCATATGCAATTGGTTAATTTTCCAAATTATTGTTACAAGAAAAAATTATGAATGACGTTTTCTTTACTAACTTACCAAATATTAGTGTTTTCACCCAATAAAAACGCATTTTAAAAGATATATGTACCTCTGGTGCCATGTACCTAAGGTTCCAATTTCACCGGTCATATCTTGAGGATTTTGAGCTTCTACACAAGCAACATCAAAATCAGCTATTTTCAAGTTTTTATTAACATCTAGCAACAAATTTTCAGCTTTGACATCATGATATACAATCTTCTATGAATGCAGATGGCTCAATCTATGTCAAGCCATGCAAAAGAAAATAATCTTTGTTAGAGTGATTCATACTTATGCAGACTACAATAGGACAAAGCTAAAGGTAAACTCACCCTCTAGGGAGGCCCAAAGCAAGCAGAATCACTACTTTGAAGGCAAGTTTCTTCTTCCAATTTGCATAAAGAAACTTCTTTAATGTCCCCTAAGAGATATTCCACAACTATGCAACATGTACTCGATGGCAGAGTAGTAGTATCAGTACTATTTTTTGAAGGAATTCCCCATTGAAGCGATAATAACCTACAATGAAGTAAATACAAAACTTCTAATAAACCTCACATGATTAAAGTAATCATATCATTAAGTATCATATCCTATGGTCAAGCTTTTGCCACACGGCAACTTCTTGCCTAAATGATGCCCGCAAAGCAGCAGTTTTAGCAGTTGTCATCATGCCACCCTCTTCCCAGTCCAGCAGTTTCACTATATAGAAAAAATGTAGTAAGGAATTGTAAAACAACAAAAAGAAAAAAAAAAAGAATATTGTTACTAGCTTTCTACACCAATGGATTTTTTTTACTTTTTTTAAATACCAATAGATGTGCTTGCTGAATCATATGTACACAAATGGAATAGCAATATAACTTGGTGCTGTAAAAGAATTCTCACAAACATTAAATTTACCACACTAACTGAATAACCCTAGCTCCTCCCATTGCACTTTTAAGTCATGCAATGACAAAATGTTGCTACCAGTTTTTCACTTTTGCTGATCCTTCAGCAGTTCAGCTACCTAACCACTAAACACCAATTCCCCTATTCACGCCATACATTATGTCAGTTTCCATCTCATCGGCCCAACTGCTCCAGAGCCAAGGGCAAACCATCTACTGCTGTGAAATGCTAAATTGCAGATACCATAATAAATCTGTCACTAAAAATGTTATACCTAGAGGCCACAAAAAGATTATTCCTCTCTGGAATGTTGTAAGAATGATGGAAAAGGATCCCCAAACCACAAAAATAAATAAATAAAAGATAAATGAATGCAAACAAAGAGGAATTAAAACAATTATAAATGCTAGAGAAGAACACGTTTCTTCAAGATTTCCAACATTTACACACATTTGCTTGCCAAGACAAACTAATACCAAACATGACTAAGGAAAATTACAAGAAAGTAATAAACCTTAACCATAGAAACCATTGCTCACCATTTTATATTGATTACCATGTTCTAATATGATTACCTAATTATATAGCATCTACCTTCCTACATCATAAAAAATGTGAAAAGAAAAAATTCTTTAATAGTAAAAATTTTTATGCTTGCGGCTATCGCTATTATTTACATGATGAAAAACCAAACTTACTCTGTATTCTCTTAAAAAGTACGAGCTGATTTCCTTAATAACCACAAACTGGGAACTAAAAATTTTAAAGGCTGAGTGCATTTATATCCTGCATAGAAGCAAGATATAGAACTCATACAGAAATACCCTCTATATTAAGTTAAGGTGAAGATAATATACAGTGCACAAAGACCCACTAGGCCTTACACGTTGTTTAGTCCTCCTAATGGCAGGAGTTCATTCTCTGATAGACGTATTTGTCAATGAAAATGCCTTTTCAAATGCCCAAAATGTCATCTTTTTATGGAAGGGACCTTTCTAGTTTCAAGTTGAGCTGCAAAGTTTACGTCTCAAATTGGGAAAAATTACTTTAGCATGAAGTTTGGTCTTCAAATACAGCAGGCAAAGCACAAGCCTGATGATCTCAAGAGATTATAGAAAACAGCAGTTCATCCAACTTTGCTGAGGAATGAACATATTGGTAATACTCAAAATTCTTCCTTCATATAATAAATAAAAGAACATGCGGTTTCTTGAGGATTTCTTAGTAAGAGGTATACTACCTGAATAGTAACAAAGCCATTTTAGAAACAAAAAATTTAGAAATATAGACAATATGTAAAGTGACCAATTACCCAAAAATATAACCTTTGGAACATAATGTTTTCTTCTTTCAACTGATGTAATTCTCTCTCAGAAAGCTCTGTTCTTTCACATTCTTCACACGACCACCTCTATAGTCATAAATGCTCATTCTTTTAATTTAAAATTGAATGATTGAACCAAAAAGAATTAGTGGTGTTAGTCACAGTTGGATATCACTTAAATTTTCATCTTCGTTGTTTGGTAATAATATCAAAATGAACTTAGCCACCAATTTTGCAATTTTACCTCTTCTAAATTTGTCCGCATCAGGTGTTTCAGAAAGGGAAGATTGCTAAAACAAAAGGCCACCACAAGACACTAATTACATATTAGGTTTTAACAACTTTTATTACAAATTATGTCCAAATACTAACTTGAAGTCATAAGATTCAATAAAAATTGTCATAAAAAACAATTAAAACTATGAATATTAAAGATATACAATTTCATCCAAAGAAAGTAATTATACAAATTAATAAAAAAAAATCATATGTTTGTATTGCATGACCATTCGTATTGACCTGTATTACAAATTTCTGTGGTCCTAATTTGCAATAATAGTTGTTAAGCTCCTAATATAATTTATATCTGGCCATGTCTCTTTTTTGCATTTTCCCTTTTAAAAATGAGCATACAGACATCACAATAAGATTGGAGAGGGTGCTGATTGCATAATAATCCCAATTTTCTACAGAGATAATTCTAGTTGTAAAGGGGATTGGAAGTAAATTTTGCCTAATTTCAAATGCAGCCAATGTTAATGTGTAATAACCGAATTTGTTAATTTATATAGTTTAGGGGCCAAAGTGAGGAATTAAAACTTTGTGGGGCTGAATTGAAATTATTTTAGGGACCATTTCGTGAGAAAAACAAGTCAAGGGACTATAGTGCAATTTTGTAGAAAATTTGACAGAATTGTATTCTGATGATGTTCTTCACTAGATTTTCACGTTTTGTGCAATGATTTCAACAAGCTTTTTGCATCTTTGCGTGTGTATTTGAGGGGTTGACCGAACCCCTCAATCTATTGCAGTCTTCGAGCGAAGAAGAGGGGGAAATTTTGAGCCTTTCAGCTGACGAAGAGTGCGGAGGGCCGGCAGGTTTCTTCGGGCTTTTGGGAGCTTTTGGCCAACTTTTCTTTGATTAATCGGTGCTACGAGGTTCGCCGGGGCTAGTGCTGTGGTTTTGGGTGGCCGGTCATCGCGGTATACCGTCCTTCTTAGGTTTTTTGTTCGGTTTTTCTGGTCAGTTTGGCCAGTAGGCAACCGGGTCTAAAGACCTGGGTTGCCGGGTGAAGAAGACAAGACCCGGAAGGATTCAGGTCCTATCTCGGCTAGGGCGGCCCAGGTTGGGCCAGGCCTGACTTGGTTAGGAGAAAGGCCATGAGCCTAGGCTGCGGGCTGGCCCAGGCCAACTAGGCCCATGAATTGGGTCAAGTTTACTCGGAGAGTTAACTCGGCCCTGCGTTCGTTGGAGTAAGTCAACCCCTCTGGATTGACTCAGTGGAATGGGAGTATACTATTCTGAGGGATAATGAAACCAAGGATAAGGGCCGTCTAGAATAGCAGGAATTAGATATTCTAAGATTTATTAATTTAATAATAGAATTAGGGTCTTGGGATGGTAAACCGGCCATAGTCGACCGGATGTTTGATCGGCCGGTTCAAGGCTGTTTTGGCCAGTTTTCTGAGCAAATAAACTGGTTCCTGGTTTGTTGGATTGAGGGCTATTAGACCAGATGGGTTCAGAGAATTTTGAGTGGCCGGTTCAGGGTGAACCGGCCAATTTAATAGGTGGTCCTTTGGGCGACCAATTCACCAATGTTTAGGTCGGTTCTTGGGGAGTTTGAACCAGTTGTTGGTTCAACACATTAAGACCTAGATAATCGTGTAGTTTGGAGATCTTTAGGGGTCCGATTCAAGGTGAATCGGGCTCAGTTTGTTTGCCGGTGATTAAGGATTTGAGTTCTTGGTCGGTTCAAGGCTAGTTTGAGTCCTTTCAGGCCGGTTCCTAGGGTTTTTGGGCCTTCTAGATTCATTTTTGAGGGTTTCGTTTCCAATCTGGTTAAGTTTGAAGTAGTTTTAAGCCGAGTTAGGTTGGTTCGAGGGTTTTAGCGGCCGGTTCGCTATGACTAGAGTTTGTGGAGGCTGGTTTAGTATTGTTGAGAGTTGTTGAACTAGATGGTTGCATGTCACTAAGTCGTGTAGGTCTCGGTGACAGGACGGCGTGCCTCGAGATGCATGCCAGGGGGCCTATTTGGATTTAAGCCCAGTTTGAGGTTATAGAGCCCGTTTCTTATACTGATTTTGTCAATAGTGATGGTTTGTGTGGTTTGATTGCAGAGTCACCAACTGAGGCACACTCGGATCATTTAGTAGAGTGAGGTGGCTCAGGACTTTCCTTTTTGACTCGGCTTATACTATGAGTGATGATACCCTCCCTATGCATATATTTTATATTATGTTTTCTTGACATGACAAACTTATTGCTTTTGACATTGTATTTTGGCGTACACTGCTTTGGGATATGTGTTAGATGTTTTATAAACTATTAGTGAGCTATATTTGTATATCGTCATCGGTTTTCGTGATATAACTATGTATGCATATGTATATATTTGTTGATTGACATGTAGGGAGTATGTATATGTATGGTTTGGTTTGATTATGTGATACATATCCCATCATGTATAGTGTAGGTATCATCTCTACTCACTAAGTTTCGCAATTCACACTCTATTATCTTTTCAAATCGACTTGATTGTTCATCTTCTGGTTAGCCGCATTTAGAGCCGTTCTTTGCGAGTTGATCGATGTACGGGTGAAATCTTTTGTTTATCTGTATTTATACTTTAATACTCCCTATATCACTCAAATAGGATCCTATTTTATATTTTGGACAAGATGTTATGAGTTTATTTATATGCTATGATATGTGGGACTTTCAGCATGGTTCGTTGTGGTGAGGCTGACTAAAGTCGAGAATTCTAGTGCCGGTCACGTATTCGGCTTTGGGTCGTGATACAATGGCATCAAAAGGAAACAAATATCAATTTCATTCAAAATATATGAAGCTTATAGCAAGATTTATGCAGGGTAAAAGAAGGCATGAAAGAAGAATTAACCAACAAGACATTATATTCTCTATACTATGCATTTCCGTTTGACAGGACTGCTTGGTTTTTTACTAAGACTACCCCTCCCCTTCAATTTTGAATCTGACCCCAGTCACTGCCCCTCTCGACTTTCAGAAGAATTCTCTGGTTTCTGAACTTATCCAACCTCTTCCTCGTTTTTCACATCCATTTTCCACAATTCCAACAAGAAACAACTGTCCGAGAAACCAAATCGCAAGATGCCAAGAACGAAATTCCACGGATTTATATTGTCTGATAAGAAATATCTAAACAATTCAATTAAACAAAGTCAACCCAGTTTAGATGAAGCTCTGAGGATTCTAAAATGGTGTGATAGAATTGAAAAAAGCAAAAAAAAAACAAAAAACAAAAAACAAAAAAAAATGATTTCAATTAAAAATGATAATAGAAAGTTTCTTGCCACCAATATAGCAGCGGAGTTCGAATCAACCGGAAAAGTTGGATGTTTCAGGAAACAGAATATTGCAACCGGCCGGTGAAATCCACAACGAAACTGTCGAAAAAACATTGTAAAATCCACAACGAAAATATCAAAATAACATTCGGCAGATCAAACCCAATGACATAAAAAAGCAAAACGAGAAAAAAAGAAAAAACTAGGAAATAGCATATTGAGCGAGGACCAAAACACACCAAACCCCAAATCCGATCCCAATTTTGTCCACTATTGGCCTGAGAACCCAATGACCAATAAGGAAATCTAAAGACTTTCCCATCAATTAAAATAAAAAAA